CTATTCTGGGATGCTCTGTAATAATGGACGCCACCATCCACTCCTCTTGTTAGAGATGGATGGATGGATGGACGGATGGATGGATAGATGGATGGATGACAGACGGACGGACGGAGTGGATGGTCATGAGCACTTTGTGAGGATTGAAGTTGGACCGACTTCAGGTTATTCCGACTTCTAGTTGGAATAACCTGAATTATATAGATAGAGTCTTGATAGACAAGAAAAAATATTGACTGGATGGGCAGGTGAATGGCCAACTGGATAGTTGGCTAAGTGGCTAAACTGCTCAATTAAATCACTCACTCAAGCTCACACTATCTTTCACTTTTAGGCTCCCTCCCAAACTCGTCAACCTACTTTTTGTGATCAATAGACTTGGCAGGACTTCTGAGTAACCATTCCACTGTTACAAGTCCTTGTGGTTGCATTTCTGCATTCAGACACCTCTCTATAATCTCCACGCCATGTTAACAGTCGCCCATTATGCCAAGGCCATAATTAGGAAATCACATTGGCATATACATCCTGTCATTAGAAGTGTCTATTGCTATTGCATTGTAATTACATTTTAGTAGGTTGTTATTACACCATTTAGAAGCTGTCCGTCTTACCTCAATCTCCTCCTTAATTGGTCATGTTGGTCTGTCCCGCCCCCCGGGCCCGCCCACCTCTTTGACGGGACATTCCAGTGGTCTAAGCATTTTAAGCTGGAGAGTATTACAACTGAGTCTAATATGCCACAGAATGAAAGAAATGAAGAAGGAGAAAAAAAGTGGGCAGAGACAGAGGATTTGGTGAGAGACAGAACTTAGGAAGAGGGGCAAAGAAAAAAAAATGGGATCGAGAAGAAATGAAAGAGGGAGAAAAGGGTGAAAAACACAGTTTTCTTGTTGCATGACAGATTCCCTCCCAGTCAACCAAGGCTTGTCCTTTAATACCCAGAAGCCTTCATGTGGCTTCTCAACGATTGCACATGGGGCAAAGCTGACCACATCTCTGCCACGCTGCTTATTATACTGCATTGCTCACACTCTGCATGTGTGTTTGCATGTGTGTGTGTGTGTGTGAGACTAAGTGCCAATAAATGCGTACGCATGCAAGTGTGCACGTGTAAGCTTGTTGGAAAGCAGCGTCAGTCAAGCAGAGAAGCGTTCAGTGAGACTTACACATCTTAATTTGTCAACACGCTGGTGATGGATGGGAGAGAAAACAGGAGGAAATCTTTTAAATTTGTAGAAAAAATGGGAAAGAAGAGACACAAGGGAAGAAACTTGTTTTCAAAGCGATGTTGATTTGGCACAAATATAAGTATTTAAACAGAAGTTAATCCTATAAAAAGATGATCTGCCCTTTGATGTCTCAGTTTAGATTGGTAACTATGAGCTGTTGACTTTAAATATTTACAATTTGCATATCATAAATGTGCAATGCTGCTATAAGGGTAGAAATATGAAAAGCTATAATAATTTGAAATATAATTGTATTAATTGATCTGGTTAGATCTGTTGGAATGAGGCATTAAATGAGACAATTAAGGCTAAATTAAGATTATTACGGGTAATTTACATAATAAAAACATTAAAAACTGTTGAAATAGAGGTTATTTTGAACAACATCATTTATAAAAAAATATATAAATGTTTTCTTAATTTGAAGGTAATCCCATGTGCAAAAGGTCTACAGCAAGCCAAGATTATTATAAACATCTTACCGTACCAACGAAGCTTCACAATACATGTGCATACTCACCCACACAAACTAAGGCCCACTGGACACACTGCATGAGTTTTCCACCACGGTCAAAGGCAAGAATAGATGGATGAAGGAGAGGAAATTGAAGGATGCAGACTATGACATCAAGCAAAACATGTGTTCCTTTCTACTCACCACAAGGACTTCCTCTTTATGACCTTCATGACCAGCCTTGTATACAGCATGCACACACGCGCACACATAAACACGCAAGTAAAGTGCAACTTTCTAAAACTTATAAGCCATAAATAAACATATATGGATGTATATAAAGCAATGAAGAATACATTTATAAGTCTACAAAACATTCAGATCTAAAAAAAACTGAAAACAAAAACAACACATATAACTTGCAGGAGGAGGATAAGTCATGAATAAAGTTGTCTAGTGTTGATTTTGGCCCCGGAAAACTGGCCTTGAGACATGCAAAGACAGAAAGGTGGCAATCAACAGTAATGAGACTCAAACCCCAAATATTGTTTTCTCAAAAAAAATAATAATAAAATGTAAAATTGACTTGGAGCAAACAAAAACACAGACTAAAAACAGTACAATTACTTGTAAATGGTTATACTCAGTAATACTCACTGCAATACTGCAATGTCCATCACTCTGGAATAGCATATTGACAGTGAACCCAGCCATGAGATGCATTTGTGGAATATATGTAAACACTATATTCATATTCATACACAGTAATGTTATTGTCTGCAGTAATTGTCATGTTAAACATGAATTTTAGTACTGCTATTTGACAACCTATTACAGTGGCTCCTATTATTGAATTATGTCAAGCACATAATAAAGTATTATAACAAATAGGCCTTCTTCATGGAAGACATTTTGACATGTCACTTTCGGGGCCCTGGTGTTGTACATGCTGGCTTAGTGTCACACTGGCATGGCTTACTGGGACAACAGAGCAGATCCATTGTTAATGCTATTAGTAACACCAGTGCGTTGTCTGTTATGACAAGTCAAAATGTCTGCTGTGAAAGAGACCTATTGTACTTATATTGTACTCATATTACAGTATGCCCAACCATATTGTGTAATACTGTGCCTACTGATTCCCATTGTCATACACCACAAGTTGTTGTTCATCAACATTCTTGGATTTTTGCTGCCCTCTGCTGTTCAGCAGTAGTCAAACTTTATCTGAAGGATGAATCATTTTTTCTAACTATTAAATGTACGAAGCAAAGAAGTGATTAATTTGAGAAACAGATAATAGTCAAATAAACCAGTAAACTGAGGGATTATTCTCATCAACATACATGAAAAAAACAAAACAAAACACAGTCATGTTTGAAAATCATTTGTAATAGCAATTGATCTGCTATTTTCCAAATTGCCATTTGACATGTATATCCAGTTGATCAGTATTATCAACAATAATTTGTATTCTTGTTTGTCTCCTGAAAATTTGACATGAATATCATGACTCAGTGTATAATTCACATATACCCATCTGAATTACAGTCACTCAGTAGCTTTAGGACAGACCCTCCAAATATAGACAAGACAGGAAGAAATACACACACACACACACACACACACACACACACACACACACACACACACACTGCACATAGTTTATTGTAGCTTAGTATTCAAGAACGTGGTTCTAAAAATGGCCAATTATAGTCAACCAAAGAGGGCTAGAGGTGTGTGCGTGTGTGTGTGTGTATGTGTGTGTGTGTGTGTTTGTGTTTTTATGTGTATACATGTATATGTGTGTGCATCTGTGTGCCCGTGTCTGCGGACAGGAAGTGGTGGTGGCTGGCTTGAGGTCAGTGGCAGGAAAGAATGGTAACTATGCTGTTGCTGTGACTACGGCTGGTCACAGAAAAGAGCTTTGTGTTTCGTGACACGCTGCAGCCTGAAACCACATCCGACCATCACTCCATCCATCCTCCCATACCTGATGCATCCGTGTCATTGATGACTTTAAAGGAAATCATTATGTCAAATAATTTCACCTTCATACCTTGTTTCTTCTGTTATGCATTTCTTTGTATCTATTTTTCATCCACATCCCACAACACTCCACTCTATGCCCAGTGGCATTTATATAAAATGTTTCCTTACAAATGCTGCTCCACCCTTCTTTTTAAACATTAAACTCTGCACAACAGCGAGACCACAGGAACTAGAAGGCCGTGTTTCTGTGCTGTTTACTGGCCTGAGGCATACCGCATCCCTCTCATTCACATCTGGGCCCACAACCATCAGCCAATAAGAGAGAGGGACCAAATGATATCACTGAAGTTTCATCAATTATGACACCCTTTTCAGAATTTTGTTTTTAAACATGAGAGCAATGAAAAGTCAGAAAATGTTGAATTTGTTTTATTTCTTGAATGTATGGTGTAATATCCTAATATAATACTTGATATTACAAAACTGTCATGGTCAGACAGCATGTTTAAGCATTAACAAGATCAATGTTTAGGATGGGTGTCGACACAAAAGAATGATAGCATTTCCCATTGTACTTGATAATCCTTCAGTGGGGAAAGCTTAAATTACACATATTCTGCAAACTGAATCAATTCAGTCAAAACGGGGCATTTCACAAATATAAAGTCATTACTTTTCCAAAGTTGTCAAAAATAAGAAACAATACGAACAAAATCACAGGCTCTATGAGTAAAATGGAAATAAACACCACCAGTAGATGTCAGCCTTGCCAAAGCAATGCATTAAAGGAAGCTGCAAAACATTTTTCCAAAGGAGGGTATTGGGTTCACCAATTCAGCAAAACTGCATGGAAACTTCAGAAACCATCAATTGATCTGCTTCAAAATGTGCAGCATTTTGAACAACAATCATGGTAGCGAATCCCAAGCATTTTGTAGGTTAATACCTGCACATTAACACGTGGGAATTGCCTTTTTGTTGTTCTGAATTGAAACTTAACTTTATATGGTCACTTGCAATGTTGGAGTAATTTCAGTACAATTTAAGGTCTTGTTATTACCTCTAACTGCATTGTTGCATTCTACATTCAATCATATAGTCTTATATAATAAGACTATTGCCAAAGATGGTTATGATATTATATTGTTATTGTGGATATGTATTCTAGTAGTATTATTATCCTATTTTGTTGTATTACTATTTTTCATTTTGTATGAGCCATGTATGATCGAATGGACATTAATCATTTACTACCATTAATTTAGTTGTATCAAAAAGTATATAGTGAAGTCTGAAACACGCATGCGTAAAGCAGAGGAAACACTTCGCAGGCAGCTAGCTCAGCTGACAACAGCAGCCAGATGATGATGGCAGACTCTGGAAGTATCGAAGAAGTAGCTGTGATCGGTAACACCGACATCACGTCAACAGAATCCGAGAACAACCTCATAAACACGGTCGTACTTTTTGATATACGTTTTTTTTTTGTTTTTTTTTAGCTAAAAAGCCTGTTTTCACTAGTCAACACTTTCCCAAACAGGCCGAACGTAACAGTTAACGTTAGCTACGTTAGGTGGAGTCAACGTGAGTGACATGAAGCAACTGAGACTTTTCCATTCACCTCTTCAAAGCTAAACGTAGCTAACTTGCTAGCTCTGCACGGTATCCGTACAGTTGCAAAGTGAGCTCGAGTTGCGTTTGCTAGCAGTAGTTCGAAGCTATAACGTTACTTTGTAAACTTTACTCCTGCTGTTAGCTCGCGTGCTAGCAAGTTTGAACGCTAAAGCCTTGAGTTGACTTTAAATTATCCAGAGACCTATTTGTGTCCTGCAAGTCCAGTCTTATTTACCGTGGTTTCATTTCATTTCCGGATACGTAAGCAATGATTTTTAGTACTTAATGGTGGTAGTATTGCCTTGTCGTGTGACAAGGCACACATACCCTTTATAAAGAAGCGTGATAATGTTTCAGAAGGTTATCTAACGTTGCAAAACAGCACTTCATCTGTTTGCATAGTGTAGAACAGAATATAATAAAACTTTACTGTCCAACAGAGTGGGCATTTGTCTTTGTTTGTCCTGAGAACCATGCTTACCCTGCACAAACCTGTCTGTTCACCTGATATTACTTTTTCTGATGCTCCCTCATATATTTGTCTTTTTTACTTTCATTGACTTGTCGTGCCCACTCATTATTATTTTCTTGTCTGTATAGATGGTGGAAAGAGGGTCAACTCTGCTGAGAAAAATGGAGATGAATGTGACCGAGGCAGAGAAGAGAACAGGGAAGAACACGGTTAACATGCAGGAAACCTATACAGTCTACCTCATAGAGACACGGTAGGTCATGCACTGGAGTCTTGTTCTGCTGCCATTAGTGTTCCAGCATTATGCAAACATCTTCATGGTGATGCAGAAACACACAGCTGGGACAACAAGAAGAGTGGAGTGGGACCACTTTCTCCTACACTTCAATAATAAAAGCACACAGGACATTTGTTTTATCTTGGCCGATGTTATGTCATAGTGTCCTTAGAGTAATTCAGTTAAATACTTCCTCCCAGGGATGCAGTTTGACACCTGATAACAACACTGTTTATTCCCATTCCTCTGTCTACAGGCCGGCTGAGACACTTCCAGCGGGGGGTACTCCCACCACACCTGACACTTTGTGGAGACGCTACAGTGAGTTTGAGTTGCTCAGAACATACCTCCTGGTCACCTACTCCTACATCATCATCCCTCCACTACCAGAGAAAAGGGTGAGAAAAGAATTACAAATAATTAATTTGCTGGGTATAACTAAGGACGTTTTGTGATAAAACTTCACATGTAGTCTTTCTTCCGTTTCTTCCTGGTAGTAGAGACGCCCCTTATCTTTTGAGGTGGTATTCACATTGGTTCTTTTGTCCCTCTTGTAGGCAGAGTTTGTGTGGCACAAAATGTCCGCCGACAACCTCGACCCAGACTTTGTTGAGAGACGGAGAGTCGGCCTGGAAAACTTCCTGCTTCGTGTTGCATCACATCCTGTCCTTTCCAATGACAAAATCTTCTTCCTCTTTCTGACAGAGGTAAACGCTTAAGCCTCACTCATTATGGTCCACATAATGTCCCATTGACTGCTTCTGCCACACTTAGTCTCACAGTCTAACAGGGATTTCAAATTGACAATAACACTTTGGCCAAACTATGGCTGAAGCTGCTCTGGTTTGAAAATCCTTGCATCCTTCTTGCCACACCTTTAAACTGAATGGTCGCATTTGTAGTTCACCTTTTCCCTGTATCAACATGCTCAATCCAGCGCAGCCCTTTGGTGTTTTGTTGTAGCTTAAAAGCCCAATTTGTACACAGCCTGGTTGATAATCCTGTCTATCATGCATCAGTCATCTGTCAATCATCTGTCCTCAGGAGAAAGAATGGAGGGAGGCGGTTTTGGAGACAGGTTTCCAAGACAAGGTATACAGTTGGTTTGTCTCCTTCACATTTTACATGGATGTCAGTGTTTCTGTCACTTGTTTTATTATAGGCAAAGTTCTTGAATGCTCCTGTATGCCATATGCAAAATAAAAACCCTGTTAACGTGTGTATACTTCTGTTCCCCACCAGGTTGACTCCAGACTAAAGTCTCTGAGTGCCATGTTCAGAGTCAAGAACCCTGACAAGTAGGTGAAAAACAGACGGATAAAAAGTAAACTTCATTGGTTTGCCTCTGAAACGTTTGACCAGGATTTATACAAAGCAGGACATTTAGTCAGATTACTGAATCATCGTGAAATGGTTTTCTTAGGAGCTGTAATGTGTAGACCTAATTCAAAATGAAGGATCCCAGTGGCACAACAGATAGTAAGAAGTAAGATGATGAGAGTTTCTCATTAGAAAATCCTCACGCAATAGAGCAACAGAAATGTTTAGATTGAGTTAAACACTGTTTGAGTTCTGATCCCTGTGTTGTGTTCTCCAGGCGATTCACAGCACTGAAACTCTACAGTGATGAACTGAACTCTGTCATCTCTCAGTTACTGAGGGTGCGGGCGGTGAGTTTTGGCATGTGTGAAACGCACTTACACACACACACACACACACCTATATTTAACTGTCTGCTGAGGCCAGTGGTTTATGCTTTTTTTGCATATTATTTTTATTTTGCCAACATCTGAGAAAAATGGCTTTAGCTTGGTAGATTTTTGACTCTCTCATTTTGTCTTGGGCAAGTAGTACAGTCCTGTGAGCTCCTGTTCTTATTTTTCTGACCACGTAATAATGATTAATTTGATTGTTTTTTTTAATTCTAGAAAGTAGCAGACAGGCTGTATGGAGTTTACAAAGTCCATGGTAACTACGGCAGAGTCTTCAGGTGAGAAACACCTATATAAATATATATATAAAGTCATAGTTTGGGCCTAAACGAGGGAACTACATTTATTAAAAGTAAAGCATCACACGTAGTGCATATACTGTGTCCAGATACCTCAGATCTACACTTTTGCTGATAGAAACATGTAAGCCTAATCATATTTTACATCACGCTGAATTTCTGAACATTTTTTTCCCCTTTAAAGGCGTTGCATTTTTTGGCATAAGGAAACGTATGTGAACTTCTTCTACATGTAGTATACATACTGATGACTTCAGTGTTAAAGGGGGTCGCAGGGTAATTCCTTTGTTCATGGAGAGGCCATGTTTCGACTTCATTTTCTTTTGGTTTTCTGTATTATTTCATGAAATATGAAATTGTATGGGTGAGATGCTTAGCAAAATAATTTTGAAGCTTCAAGATGAAATTTGTAAATAAAATAAGGCTGTAAACGTCCAGGAGCAAATTGTAGCGCACAAAGCACTTGTAAGAAAAAGTCTTCAGGCTGCATGGACCGAACTGAGAGTTGCAGAATTAAACCTAAATTGGTGTGTCTCCAGTGAATGGAGTGCTATAGAAAAAGAGATGGGAGATGGACTACAGAGTGCGGGCCACCACATGGACACGTAAGTGGACTAAAGTTGCCCTTCAACTACTCTACCCTCTCACACACTCAGACTGTAGCTTACACTTAAATGTGTTTACTGAAGCAGCAATACACCAGTCACTAAACTACTAACTTCAACACATTCTCAAACATAATGCTTTATTTTCTGCATCGGTTAACTTTTGAATGCGACATGTGTACAGGTACGCTGCATCAATAGATGACATTCTGGAGGAAGAAGAGCATTATGCAGACCAACTGAAAGAATACCTTTTCTACACTGATGCTGTCAGGTATGTTTGAGACACAGAGAGACGTATCTATACGAGGCCAAACAATAAGCGGAGGGTAATATTCAATCTAACAAGTGCTCTTATTGGTTTTAACAGACCATCAGAAGGGATTGCAAGTCGGCACATTTGGTTTGAAGAAATATCATATCAAACATCAGTTTATTAATCCTTAGAGTTTTCTTGACGCAGTGAATTGGTATATCATTATTCATGTTTCTTAATGTGAGCAGCTGTAGAGATACGACCCTGTGTTTTCCACACTCCAATTCCTTCTTATTATTTCCTGAGGCAGATTTGAGAAATATCCAACACTGCCTTTTTGTGATTCCGCCTCATGTTGCCATTGTTCTGTATCGTTCTATTCAAAACAAAGTAACACGCAACAGAGCTAATGCAAATGCTTTATAGCATATGTAAACATCTTTCAGCAGAGCATATAATGCAGACCTGTGGTTATCGACAAGAACTGATGTTAGGATGGAGATCTCTTATGTCTTTATCATCCGTCTGTCTGTTGTAATCTTAGTATCAGGATGCATCAATATAATAGGACTACACATTTTTTGGGTTCACATTTTCATCGACTTATTAAAACTGTGTTAACTTCTGAGTGTGTGTGTTTGTGGATTCAGGTCAGTGTGTAGGAAACATGAGCTGATGCAGTACGAGTTGGAGATGGTAGCTCAGGACCTCGTCCAAAAGAAACAACAGAAGGAAGAGCTGGCTACTGGGGTAAGGCACTCACACACTCTCTCATCGTCTCTCACTTTCTCCTACACATTCTGGGAGTGTACCCACACACAATGACAAGTCAAGTGAGAATTGTGCATGAAAAGTGATATAAATGAACAGAATTAGTTTTTTGTTTTTTTTATTATTGTGATCTGTTTTGATGAGAACATCAGTGAGTCGACTGATTTGTCTGTGTGTCTGTGTGTGCAGACAGTTCGGATCTTTTCTCTGAAGGGGATGACGAGTAAACTGTTCGGCCAAGAGAGCCAGGAGCAGAGGGAGAGCAGGTTGGCAGCGCTGGAGCAGAGTATCCGTGAGGCAGAGGAAACGCTCGAGGAAAAGAACAGAGAGTGCCAGTAAGCTCATCAGCTGTGAATCAATCCTCTGTCTGGGAAAAAAAATTATATGTTTTTTTTGTCACACAATTTGCCCGTCATGTACAATGAATTGTTTCACCCAGTGTTGTGCATGAACACACTAAAAGAGCGCTTCATTGAACGTGTTCATGTTTTTGGTGAACTGAATGTGTCCGTTTGCAACTGATGAACGTGAAATTGACGTTCAGCGTAGAAAACGTTGAACCTCGTTCCAAGTTCTTCATCATAATACATACAACAATTATATGAAGTAACTGGCGAAGAATGAGGAAGTATAAACATAAATAAAATATAAAATGAAGTAATATAAATTTGTGGAAGACAGTATTTGAAATGGAGAAACTGAATGTAAACAGTAATGTAGTAATGTATACAGAGATGTAAACAGTTTTTAAACAATCAGTAAAGTATAAAAAGGTAAGTGTCAGTATAATGGATTTAAGTCAGAATCTTAAATCAGGTAGACGAGTCAAAATCAGGTATCATGTACGATTAAGAAGACATCAGCAATATAACTCGGTAATTTTAAAAACTAAAAACCACCACACTGTTTGTTCTTCCTCTACAATGACTTTTATTTCGCCCCTCAGAATGAGTGACATCAGCATGTGTCTTTGTGATTGTGTCTCCAGAGAGTTTGTGCGAACAGCCTGGGAAGACATTGAACGTTTCAAGGAACAGAAGGACAGAGATTTGCGTGAAGCACTAATTAGCTATGCCATCATGCAGATCAGCATGTGTAAGAAGGTAAGGGGCTCCTTTACTTGTATACTTTCCTACATCTGAATGCCAGGCGTGTTGATTTCTTCAGCAGTTCTCTCAAAAGCACTCTTGTTCTTTGTCACTCCATAACTGTCTCAGGGAATCCAGGTGTGGTCCAACGCCAAGGAGTGTTTCAACAAAATGTGAGCCACTCTCCAGCCAATCGCTCACTTGCACCAAAACAATAACAATCGGATTGTTCAGAGTGGGACCATCAGCCAACCTGCAGTCTTACGGAGATGGACCATGGGAGCCAAAAATACTGTCCTCACTTTGTTTGCTACGCTGAATGATTCTGCCTTTCTCTCTCTCTCTCTCTCTCTCTCTCACACACACACATTTATTTAGAAAAAGCACTAGAGTTATTTAGTTGATCCATGCCTTTTAATTCCAAGTGTCTTTAACAGTACCATTCACGTGGCATTTTGCTAATGTTACTGTCCTACTGCAGATGACCCAAATGTTCAAGACTTTTTCCTCCTTTGTTGCACAGCCGTCAGCGTGTCATAGAGGAAAATCCTGCACTAATAATGCATGATAGTTGCGCATTGGGAATGCCTGTGCAGTGTATTTCAGTTACACTTCACTTCCCAAATGTAGCAGAACTGTGCAATGACATAAAAGGACGGATGTTGAGGAATCAGTCTGAAAACTACCACTACTTCCTCTCAGCCTCAAATGGGAGGTGTAATCTTCTGAAAGTTTATTAAATAAAAATGTCAGGTGGAGATTTATCAGAAACAAGAAATCTTATTGTAAGGCAAGGGAACATGGACCACTTCTTTTTCCTGAAATATGTTTGGTACACTTCATGCTGAAGTCAGTCTTTATGCTGTTATTAATCGATAGCTGACCAAAGTGCTGTATAGTACAGATCACAGGTGGGGAGCACAGGAGAGGGGTCGACAAGCTTAGGGTATTTTTGGTAATTGATGAGAGATTTTTTTTTTCGTTTTGTGCCAAAAGAAAAGAGCCATGAGTAAGAGTAAAGTTAGTCGAGCCTCTCTTTCTTCAACTCCTTAATGGAGGCTTTCTTATTCTTTCGCGGACCTAAACATGGCACCACCACAAACTACCTGATCTACCAAGTGCAACCATAAGTGTTGTTAAAGCGACACACTTACAGATCAGTAGTTGAGCTTTTTCTTTACTTTCGAGCTTTATAGCCTTAATATGAGCATTGGTCTTGTAAAACAGGGGAGGGCCCTTTCAGCCACACTCTCAATCTGCCGCATCTCTTTTTCTGATGTGAAGTCATTGCACTAAATAATAGACGTGAGTTCCAAGCATGCCTCAGGTCAATGTTTGTGACATACTGACCAAATGGTGGAAATCTTTAACTACGGACATGTTGGATCCTCAAATTCTGGCTCAATCCATATGATATACATACACAATACATGTTCTACTTTTGTTTCCTTAATATGATATCCTGAAGAGGGAAGATTGGTGCAAAATGGACATGTAAAAGTTGTGCAAAGATACTTTCCCTCGGCCTTCAATAAACAATCAGTTTACTGAAATAATCCCAAATTACAGCTTTATGTATGTTTTTATAATAAACGTGTTCAATGAATGATTGTTTTTATGTTTATGTAATCATTGTGCTAAAACACTAATAAACATTTCTTTTTTTAAACTGTTTTCATTGCAATTTTTATAACATTGTACATATGAGTCCAAGGTGGTGAAACTCGGACGACATGTGGTAGTGCTGGTTTCACACTATGTTTACAGATTACTGAGGCAGGATGCTTGCTGAATGTTCATGTGTAACATGGTATTTGTTTGTCTTTGTGGCTAAAACACAAAAGCAGCGGTATTTTAATGAGCACATTCGAAAGGTCCGACTACTGTAATTCATCAGTGTCAAAATAACAGCCTTGCCTCTATGCAAGACTTCTCTTTTATTTCCAAGACACCTGAAGTGACGGTGTGTGAATCAGATGGGTGTGTCTGTGAGTTGACGCTCATGTGATGGATGCCTGTCAAGTCCCATCACGCATGAATTATGAGATCACACAGGAAGTCATTCTCTTTGGATTTGTTTCCTAAAACAAGAAGTATGTCAAGCTACTTCTGATCTGGTGGGGAAAAAATGCACAACTCTTTCAACAATAAAAATATTTAAGATATTTAAAAAAAATTTCCCTTTTGATGTATCCCTTTGATGCTCTAAGGTCTTTTATTTTCATCATAAGTTAGGTATTTACTACAAATTAATAACATGTGCTTCATCTGGTATTAAATGATGTAATAGATGTGCCCTGTCCTTCACCATTTATTATGTACGATATGAAAAACGGCTAAATTATAATAATTATAATTATAATGACATAGAAATATAGGAAAATCCCTAAGCATGTATACTATATGATGGTTTGAATGCAATTGTCTTCACTTGTAAAAAAAAAAAAAGAAGGCTCTTTCAATATTTGCACACTGCAGCTCTGAAGAGCGAGACAAAGCCTGGAACCGTTTAACGTGAACTGTGAAATAATGAACAAATAGCGCCACCTGACGATCAATATCAGTAAAAAATTCGATTTGGCACAGAGGCGACTTAACAAAGTGGTAATGAAAGAGAGAGGAGCACGAGGAAAGGAAAGGAGCATGCTTTCTTTTCAAACCCACCTACTGGTTGGTTTGCATGAGATCATGTGTGGTTTTCTCAAATGGAAACCTAACATTAATTTAACATTAAAAACAGACCAAAGCCTTACATGTCCCAATCCAGTAATTCACTGCACTCTTTAGAAACCTGATATTCTAGTAAATCCAAGTAAACAGACTTATGAGGCTGTAAAAATGTCTCATGCTGCCTAAATCATAGCCAATGTATAATAGAATATATATGGAAATGCCTAGAAATACTGTTAGGGGAGATCTTTTCTCAAAATGTGTCTTAACACATAGACAGATAAGATTGGTCTTGTTAGTACTTGACCCGTTATTAAAATGAATGGGACACAAGAAGTGAAGTTACAGTCCTAAAGGTTGCTTTATCTCAATGAATGGGAAGAGCTACCGTGGCTCTCTAAAAGGACGACGACTTGAATTAAATAATGTTTCATAAGGAGTTCCTGGATAATTGAGCTTTTCCTCGCACTGAAAAAAACGATTACCAAATTGTTGGCAACAGCCATAACATTGGAAATGTTATGAACACTACTGATTAGTGGGGATGTGGGATGTAATGCCCTCACAGCACCGTACACAGCCCTTCTACCCGCCTGCCTGCCTGTATTTGAGAGAAGAGACCCGCCCACCTTAATAACGACTGGACCTTCTCTCTTCCAATCCAGACAAAAGGAGAGGACGACAGATCCACGGTAGCGCGCACTGAGCTGAGCATCCGAGCACCTTGGAGACTCCACGGTTTTGATCCGACGCACAAGAACGCACCGGCACACCTATACACGCACGCCCTCCAGGTCCACCTGAAACGTCCAGGCCGGTTGATTGTCCTGTTTGAAGGCAGAAAAAAGAGGGTCTGAGCACCGGTTCAATCGCAGCCAGAACACCGCGTTCCCATGATGTCATACCTGTGGATTCTGCTATTAGGAAGCCTGCTGGCTACAAGCGCCCAGGCACAAGGTAATGATTTATTTTCCAATTAATTCAGATCAGCCTTTCGGTGTCTGCTTTTGTCTGTATGCATGCACATGTATCTATCTATCTATCTATCTATCTATCTATCTATGAATATATATCTATATATCTCTATATATGTATACCTATATCTATATCTATATAGATATAGATATATATATATATATATATGTTTTTTCTTCTGTCTGTATTGTTCATCTTCATCCCACTGTCTCTTTTAACCCCTAATTCATATCCCTCAGTCTCACCTATCGTTCTCTCCTTTTCTGCCAGTCTGCCTCATTACACATCCGTATGTGTCTATCTGGCTGCCTCTATGTGTGTGTGTGTGTGTGTGTGTGTGTGAGTGCAATTACCGGTGTCTTTTGCCAGTCTGTCTGCCTCACTGTCGGCATGGCAATTCAATTCACCTTGAGCTAAACACCGCTTGTTTTAATCCGTTCAGACTGAATGAATAAAAGCATCTCTGCTCTCCTTTTCCATACTGTCATTGTTCATGCCTCTGCTGCCGAGACATCATCAGTGAAATAGGTGTGTCATGTAATATGGCCATCTTTTTTGGACATGAGTTTTGGCCCACAGGGGTGTGGTGGTTCCATTGTATTTCCCTCCTGTTTTCTCTCTTTCCTCCTCTTTTTAAGTCTCATCTTCGTTTTTCTTCTCTATATTTCCATTCTTCATCAATTGCTCTTTTTTCCCTCTTCAGCTGGCCCATGGGCCCCTGCCCTTCCCCGCGGCACATGTAATGATTCCAGATTGTTCAAACGAGCAATAAAGCTCTGAAGGAGAGAAAGGAAGCATTGAGAAAAACAAATAAAAAAAAGATGGGAAAGGAGGGGAGATTAGAAGAAGATAAAAGATAAAAGAGATATGGTGTGGCCGATAAGAGGGACAACAGAGAGGTATACAAGGATGGTGAAAAGTGAGGGAGATAGTCAGAGCAACAGTGAGCCTCGTGGTCATTATGCAAACAAAATTTCAGTTGAACGTTGGTGCACTTGGATGGCATCTGGTGTAATCTCACTCTACCGGTTCACTTTTTATTAGCAGATAAACCGCCAGATAGGAGCCACCCTTACACCCACACTTTCATTTTCCCACACACACATATTTTTTTTTCACCCACGGGATCCTGTTGTACAGTGACGCAGGAAATCTCCATTGGAGTGTTTGCTTGCTTGCATGCAAGTGGTTTAGAGTTTCACAGAAAAAGATGGGTTGTTAGGTCAGTCGCATGTGTGCACATCATGGACGGTGTGTAAGCTATAGAAGTTAAGGATAGGGAGTGCCTCGGTAACTAGATCCATCTCCAGCTGTAGACAACACCCACCGAAACGACTAGTTTCAGCGCCTTCCTCTCCGCCAGGGCCGTCAGCATCTGTGTGTGTGTGTGAGAGTGTGTGTGTGGGAGGGTGTGGGGTAGGATTTTAATGTACAGAACGACTGTGTGAGTGTGGGAGTATGGGAGTATTGCTTCATTACTGTGTGTATGAGTCAGTTGTAGAGCATATGTGTGTCTTAGAGGCAGATGAAAGCAAAAAGCGCTGTGTGATTTGTGCCAGGTGTGTGAACAGTGTGTGTGTGCAGACTTGTCTGTGTTTACACCTTCAACTACCAGTACATAAAACACTCTTTTGGTGGATAAGTGAAAGGCGGGCACATGCACACACACACACACACACACACACACACACACACACACACTCCCTCTGCTCCCATGGGGGCAGTTTCAAGGTGTGCATGATTGGGGTAAACACAGCACTTTCTGTCCTACAAACACATAATAGAGCCATACCTGACAGAACAATGCACAGTGGAGGTGCTGTTGTATTACCTGACACACATGCACACACAGTTTATGGTGTACTGTTACGGGGCAAAGGGTTGGTTATTGTAGTATGTACACACAATATTACTCAGTCAAGTACGCACAGGCGATCTCACACAGGCGTCTAACACAGTCTCAGGACAGGAACCAACAGAGTCAGACAATGAAGTTCCTCTTGCTTTGTCATTGATAACATGCCTCACACTCCAATTTATGTAGACCGCAAGTTACAAAAGTGCAGTGATTTAAAAGAAGATAGACTTCTTTGTTGTTTTGTAATAATAAAAGGTGAATATGACGAAAATTAGATATCAGGGAAGAATAATTATGAGGTGTCAAGGTAAACAGTTTCCTCATGCGTCAGCCTTTGCATATCAAAACAGTGGTGCCAGCATCAATCATCACTACAGCCCTACAACTTCCATCAAGGCGTGCGTTCACTGGAAGTGCAGTCCTCACACCGTATCGGCTGTTAGTAGCTCACCAACATGATGTAACTAGCTGAAAGTGCTTTTTTATTCACTTCACGTGTATTTCATTTTAGTCTCAATTGGTGCCACATTTCCAATGAATCCTGTTTTTACCTGTTGCCAGGGCCAATGTCCTGGAAAGCTGACGCCGCCCATGTTAGTTGAGCATCCCACGTGATATCTAAGTCCTGCTTGCCTGAATTTATAGAACAGGGAAATTAAATGTTTATCTTTCAAACATGTTGCTTAGCACAAAGATGGGAACAGGAGGAACCGGCTAGCGCGGCTCTATCCAAAGGTAACAAAATGC